CCAGGCACCCCAGTGTGCAATTTTAAATCAGTCACCTGGTCCAAACAGGAGAAAAGTCAAAGAATCTCATAAGGAGAACAATTATTAACTAAAACCACTGGAAGTTGGTTGGAGTTGGTAGGCTTGGTAGTGGATGAATTTATATTGCACAGTGATCATTTACAGATGAAGATGGTATGAAGCCGATACGCGTATGGGTGCAAAGGGTCCAGAAGGACAGCATATCGGGCACTCCTTAACTGTAACATCATAACATCATAAACCTAGGAGCATAAGAACAACAAGAGTTGGCAATGGCTTAGTTATAACATCTCTAAATGGAACTGCGTAACTGTTATTTTATTTCAAATATGAAGTAGACTAATTTGTCTCATATTTTCTTAAATTCTTCCATGATAGCGTTACCAACTTCTGGGATTTAAACATTCGACAAAAGTATTACAAACTTACGAAGGAATTATCAGTGGCTAAAAACCGACTTGTAACAGATAGTCTTTCATGGTTGCAAATAGATTTTCTCTTCTTAGTGTTATTTTTATCTACCTCTAGTTTAACTTAATTAAATGAATAAAACAATTAACGACAGTATTTTCTGGCAAAATATGTGTACGCACAGTCAGCGAACTGCTTTAAATTTTAAATCTAAAACTTATCCGAGATTTCACTCATCCACGGTTGCCCCGTAGTTGTTTTATCTCTTTTAGGCCTCTAAAAAACTTTTCTATTTGTTTCCATGTTGTGTAAGTGTATGTAAGTGCATACCTGTTGATGTATATATATTGTTCTCCTGCGTGGAATAAATTTTATGTCTGTTATAGTACATTGTATTTTTCTTATTAAAAACACACTGAAATATGTGCACATAAGATCATACATAATATTGACGTTAAGTACACGCGGTACAGAAAGTACCTGATTGGTATGCAGACAGAAGAAAATGCTTCGAAGTCTGAAGTGCGAGGTTTTCTATTATCCGCGGTTCTCGTTATCTTGAGTGATGCTTAGTATGTATCCCCTGGGATAACGAGAGTATTTTTTTTACGAGGGTTTGCAACAGCAGAGGTCATATAAACACTCATGGTGCCGATGAGTTTGAAAAAAAAGCCCATTTGTAAGTACGTCGTGTTCGAATGCACGGCCGCTGGGACCTTTACCTTACAAATGTAATCGTCGCTGTACATTTTCTATCGCATTATTTAGTCTTTTCTGATGTGGTGTTCAAACAACTAAACAGTATGCTAAAATAGGAAACCATAGCCTTAAACAATATAATCACTGTTTCTGCATCTTTAAATTTTTTTGTAGTTTCATGTAAGAAACCTACAATATGATTTTCCTTATTTCATTATTGAGGTGCATTGCAGGTTGTTAGAGTAGGTGATTTCAAGGTCTTTAATGGTAGTCTGCCTGCCCAATTGGGTGTCTTGTATGGTATAATAAGAAGGCAACACTACGTCAAAGACTAAATCTAACAACCACATACCTATTATAACCAAATTAAACAACCATATTCAGTACCCTGCCGTTGCCTGAACACCACTCAAGAAGATTATTGACAGGTTTCTGCAGAAACAGCATTTTTTCAGCAGCATGAATGAAAGTTATAGTGGCATAAACCTTCAAGTCATCAGCAAAGTGGGTGATATTACCTGAGCAAAAACCGAGAAGAAATATCGTTAATAAATACTTTGAAAATGAATGGACCGAGTAACGACCTCTGAGGTATACCAGATGAGGCTACTATTTTTTTTAGAAGTTACTAATTTAAGGTTCACAAATTGATTTTTATCTTTCAAATAAGAGCTAAAACATTCCAACTAGATAAACTAGAGAACAAATCCAAGGATGATGAATTATCGGATAAGGAGACAATGATCAATTTTATCAAATGTCTTGGCAAAATCTAAATATATTGTGTCATTCTGTTGATGTCAATGTGTGTTGATGCGTACTAGTACTCCTACTTAGACCACTCCTGTTTTAATAAACATTTAATAAAAACTTGTCGTTGCTCTTACAATGAATGGATCAACACAATGTTCTGTTACGGTATTGTGTCAATTTTGTCTTAAGTTACGTAAAAAACCCGCGAGAATAGACGTACCCAGAAAAGTGATATATTTTGAACAGTTCAACATAAAACCGTTTAACCAAGGTACTGTGGTTGTGAGGTTTAGCGTTCCACCATATCGAGTTTACCATTCGAAAGCGAAATGGTTTGATAAGAAAAAGTAAGAATGAAGTAATTATAACTGTTATGAGAGAGGGCTAAATTCCGAGGAGTGATTTTTGCCGGGCATTGCCATGTGAAACACATCTACACAATATCGGCATATTCAATGATAATCCAATTTGTAGATTATGTAATGAGGAGGAAGAAACAGATAATGAGAAGCAACCGCTCCAATGGAGACTTAACCTGAGATACAAAGAAAACCCAGGGAAAGTAATTGCAGCAACAGTCTGTGAGAGAACGACCGAGTCGATTGCACTGAATAAGGAACTAGTGAAGTACAATAAGCCAGAAGGCTGGAGTTCTTGGGGAACAAAAACCCCACTTCCTCCATCATCGTCAATTATAACTTTAGGGTATGATAAAACGATGGATAGTTGGGCTAGTTTTAAGAGGTTCCCACTTTTTGAGAAGCCTCATGGGGATCGGCGTTTTAACAACCATCAAGCAGACACCTAAATAAAAAGTCTATAAACATCTTAACTTTTTTTTAAATCTTCCACGTATAAATTGCTGAGTACAAGGCATAGCAGAGCTCGAGAAGTGAAGGATTGATGATTACAGTGTGGCACATCACCGTACATCGAGATGACTTTTACATATATTTAAGAGAAATACAATTTTTACCCTAATTTAGAAAAAACCAGTAATACGCTCGTGAAAAACGTTATCTATGATTTGGTTTATGTGGAATGTGTGTTACACAATAAAGTTCATACGCTTAGCACATTTTTTTTTTTTTTGGGGGGGGGGAGGGTTGATTGAATACAATTCTACTCTACTGCAACCTAAGCAGGTCTATTGTGGACCCCCCAATACTTTGGAAAGTACGCTCTTCCTTATAAAACTGAGCGCTTTCCTTGGCGCGTCTTCGTGGATCTCTTTGGATATGAAAAATGTACCGTAAAAGGAACCAAATACTCAGAACCCATGGGAAAATACACCAGTATCTTCCATGCTGAGATCCACGCAATCGAGGGATGTATTCAATTCTACTTGACTAAAGGGTACAAAAACAAGAACATAGCTCTCATGTTAGATAACCAAGCAGCCATCAAAGCACTAAGTTCAAACATCATTAGTTCCAAGTTGGAGTTGAACCGCGAAACCAAATTAAACATATTAGGTACGCAGAACAAAATCAGCCTCAGCAACCCTTGCAAAAAAGGGGCTGCTATACGGCTGACAGGACCCGAACCCTTTTGTGGCATAGGAACTCACACTATCAATGAGTACCTCAGACCGAGGGATGAAAACAAAATGAGGTAACAATGGAATTCACTCATTGGACACAAACAATCCAAGAACCTCCTAACAAATTTCGAAAGAAGAGAAGTGACAGAATGTACCAAAGGAAGAAGGAAAAACCTGCGAATCCTAACAGGATTTTTAACAGGTCACTGCAAACTAATGGGCATTTAAAGAAGATTGGTATAATTCAAGGCGTCACATGCACATTCTGTCAAGAAGCAGAGGAGACACCAACACACCTATTAACAAACTATGGTGCTACACTTGCTCGCAGGAGGAAGTGTTGTGGTATGTACAATGTGGCTGTAGAAGAAATTTAACCACTGAAACTGGACCTAATAATCAAGTTTCTTGATGAAATAAGGAACGGGGGATACAAAAGGGCGCATTATATTACACCACGACTAATACATCTACATGACCACTTCGAATGGTCTTCAAAGTTTACCTTTTCTCTCATTTTGTCAGACACCGTTGTAGCCATCTCATTTATTTTAATTCTTTATAGAATTTTGTGGCGGCTACTCCTTAGATCTGGTTTTATTTCTTTATATCTAAGGAGTCAGCTGACACATAAACATGTAAGGGTGGGAGGTTGAATGCAGTATTGCTGTGGTGGTGCAGTATGCATTGCCCCTGTAATATTGAGATACGCTAGTCTTGTAAATTTCGTAATTTGATCTCTGTCTCCTTATTTTAGTGCCTTTGGTCACCATGCTAGAGCTCCATATGTGACCAAGGGTATTACCGTTGTGGTGTATAACCGGTACGCCATTTTGTGCTTTATTATTTTTACTGCACAGTCTTTGGCCAATGCTTAAGAGCCTTGGCTTTATACAGGATATTATATGTTTTCCCTATTTGAGCTTTTCGTAAAGGGTTATACCAAGGTACTTTATTTCTTCGGAGAAACTTAAGGTTTCACCTTTTATAGTGGGAGCATTTATTGAGATATGTTGTTTTAGGGTTTATATTCAAACCGTTTTTCTCACACCATCTTCCTATTATATTTTTGACAAAGGGTCTTCAAATTTCTATTTTATGATTGTTACCAGGTCATCTGCGTAACCTATGGTGTGGTACGGTGAATCATTGAGTTCTTCGATTAGATGATCGACTACCAGCAACCAGAGAAGTGGCGATAGCATAGTACAATTATGATGCACACATAAATGAACAAATAGGAAAACAAAGGGCTAATTTTTTTTCTGGTGATTCTCTCGTTCTTCGAGAGACAGCAATTGAGAGGGGTAGCATGTGGTCAATGTTAAAGGCGAGTGGAACTTTTTTCCCTCGTCTGAAAGCCAATTAGCCCTCATCCTCATCGGCCTTTTCGAGATGTAATTGTTCGAATTGAAATCCCAATTCGGCCGAGGGGGGTTAATATAATAATAGGACGGGCAATTGGGGCCCGTGGCGGTTTTGTCGAAGGGGGTGGCGCGGCGGTTTTTGGAGGGGGTGGCCCCACCCCCGGCGACACGGCGTTCTGCCATCCTCCATCCCCTCTTAAGACGGTGGGACCTTTTCAGTCTTAATCCGACGGGTACTCGGTTGTGTACTACTCTCATCAGGAATTAAATTTCGGATTATTTATACAAGTAAGGATACAAAAATACACATAATTTAAAATTCTGTAGACATAAGATGACGGCACAGAGTTACACTTATTAATATTTTTTCTGTAAAAATCCGTTAATTTATTATTAATCCGTTAATTTTATTAATAAAAAGTACATGTATTTTAATAAGAATTGGAATCATCCATAATAAAATACATATGGATGTAAGAATGTAGCGTTAGTAAAATTTGGTTTTTGATTTGTCGTTATCATAAAAAAATTACTATTCATTTTAATATAATATTCATTTTACACATTACATTGCTTGAAGATTAGATTTTACAGTTTACAACAAAAAGTTTATTTCTTGCAAAAATTTAGAAGTAAACATAAAAAGAAGGATAATTTGGGTTTAAGACATGTGGCTCATGTAGTATAACGCAATTCACATCACCTTTGGTTGAATAAACTAAATACGATTTTTAAGCATCAATCACATAATTGCTGCATAAAGCTGTGGAGACTCTACTCCAGGGAAAAGGCGTTTTGTACGTTCATTTTACAATTTTCCTATGACCTATGGGAGAAAAAAAAACGCAGCGTTCTAACTGGTTTAAACCGAATCCACACATCTCCACTCGCTGAATTCATATGACCAGACATGTGGTCTGGCGTGTCGTGGAGGTTAGTCTATTTCGGTCGGCCAATAACCGCTGTTCTATTGTGGACTCCTTGAGCTGTAGAATGACTGCCAGTACTTCATTGTTAATGAATTAAAAAAATGGAGAGGGTAGTCGACTGTGGCCACCAGACCAGACTGTCATTGCTTACCTAGTCCCATAGCATGGATACGCGAAAGAACGCGATTTTTTTTAACACATAATATATTGAAAAATATGATTACTTTTTCTGCCTTATATAAAATAAATGTCCGACACAAATTTCTCGTATTAGCATTTTAACGTGGTAAATAAACATTTCAAAAACACATTCGTTACAGTTTTATTTTAACAGCTTAAACCTCTGGCAGGATTTTGAAGAAATAGTGAACTTTATTAGCAGTTAGGAGAACATATTTTTGACATATGTTCTTTTATGTCTTTTATATTTGAATGTATGCGGTTCGTATAAAAAAGGGCGTTTTTGGGTAGAAATTATTCAAAATCATCTCTAAGCAAATTTAATGTCTTTCTCGAAAAGAAAACAACAGAATTTATTAATAGATCTCTCGTGCTACCTATCAAAAGTTCAGAACAAGTCGGAAACACTCTGCTCTTTATCCGAAGAAGGATGCAGATAGCCGTAGGACGGAGTTATCAAGGGTTCTCACGCCATTTCACGAAAGGGGGCTCAACAGGTATGGAAGGGAAGACTGCACATGTTGAACACTTGTTCCATGTTTTACTTTATTGTCGAAACGGGAATCCCTCGACCCGGCTGCGACCAAAAGGAACGAGTTTACGCATTGTCAACAGATCGGAAATTGTATTTCATGAAAAATACAAAAACAAAGGAACCAACTTTCATCTATTTAAATAAACAGCTCATATATTTAAAAGGCCCTTACATACAATGGCATTTTGTACATTCATTATTTCTTATATGATATATTGCCCTATTCTTCTTCCATTCTCTATTATTCGAGAAACCTATTCGTTTTAATGTTCACCACCACTTATAGTCGTTAATAAACAGTTTAGAAAAATATGCAAAAACATTTTTATTTATAGTATATTTGCCAAGAATTCTAAGTTAACGCACTAATGTTTACTTGAAAGTAAAATAGGTTACACTGGGAAAAAATCCTTATAAAATTGGATAGTGAAGCATATAAAAACAAAAAAATCACATCAAAACTATAATTTATTACACATGAAACATTATTTTGTTTTATTACCTTGTAAAGGAAACTGCTTGAAATGGAATCTTTCTCAGAATTGACCATGAGTGCTCACTTTTCATTTGTAGTCTATTCTTACGGGATGAAGATAGCATTACATCCACAAAACGTATTGTAACATGTCTTTTTCTTTGCTCTCAGAAGAAAATCAATTGCAAAATCTGCAATAAAATGCATATCTTTTATTTTCTTTAAATGGTCTTTAAACACTATGGTTGGTCATTTAGTATCCTTCTATTTAGAAAACAAAAAGTTGTCTCGCATCTCCTGGGTATGCTGTGATGTAATAAAACATAAAAAGAATTATATAAAAATCTTTAAACATTTTGCACTTTTGTCCATATTTTTTAATAATTAAGCAAAATATGAGTTGAGCTTATAACTACGGTCGGATATATGCACGAATATTCTGGAAGTTCGGTCTTATCGAAAGAATACATTTTGTTGTTACGGTCATCATCAGGGCAAAACAATCTAAATATGTCTACAAATCCGACATAATTATGTTTTTCACAGACGATTTAAAATTTCTTTGAAGACCGACTCATTCCCTAACGCCCAAAGACTGTGATTTTAAGATTGTTTTACCCTGATGAAAATTTAGGCAATTTGCAAGATTTGCTTTAATATTTCATAAAAAAATCTGTGGAAAAACATCCTTATAAAATCGGATAGACAAGGTGACACTGAAGCGTATAAAAATAAAAAAATCACATCACTAGTCTGTGAAAAGTGAAAGCCCAGAAAGACTTTATTGTTGGTGACTACTTGGAACGGGCTTCAATTCACTGTTTTTCAAATAGTCCCGACTTAAACCTTATCGAACACCTTTGGGACGAATTGTCAAACTCACCCAAGCACTCGCCCGGTGATGCCAGAGAATTTGCAGGAATTAAGTATGGCGCTGTTGTAGGAGTATGGAAATATACCACAATGTGTAATAACCAAATATTCAAAACCTCATAAAATGCCAGGTCAAATGCAAGCGGTGATCAACGCAAGGGGAGGAAATAGTCAGTAATGAATTGAATATTTTCTTCATTCTTTCCATAGCAACACTTTTGGTAAATTACTCCATGTTTGTTTAGTGGTCATAATTGACCATATTAATTGGAATTTTTTGTAAAATTGTTTTGCTCAGTTTAATTTTTTATTTAGGCATATTTTACATTTTTCTTTAACAATATTCAGTAAACAAAACAAGTATTTCCTAAATAAAAGATTGTGGCCACTGTTTTGCCTCTCTAAGTATAAAACTTCGACGAAAATCTCTGAGGTTTGACCATAAATTTAACAAAACAGCCCTACTTTCATAAAAAAATGGGGACTTTTGTAGAAATTACTTTTTCTAGGTTAAACTATTATTCCAATATTTTATCAATCTTTTGCCAGGTTTTTCCGGATGGCCACTTGAAGGCATAAAGTCTTTAAGGGCTTCGTCAATCCTCAAAAGCTCGGTGCAACTTATTTGACCTCCTTCGGGGAAATTTCGTTTGGCGCCTTTTGACCGACGGTTTTGTTCATAGACGTTTCCTTTTTATCGTTTTGTTTACATGATGACTGTGTTGGGTGCTGCGACTGCATCAGCTAAACTAACACTACAACTGTAAACTTTTCTTTTCAATACTTTACACAATGTAATATTATCTTTGTGGTCACAAATGGTAAAAACAATTTTATAGAATATCTTTCTCACAGAAGACATGTAGTGTCTGAGTCAATAACAGGAGTCTTCGTCCGACAACGCCTTTATAGAATGAACATGTGCTCTAAAAATGGATTAAGAAAATAATGGGAGTAAATTAGATTATTTGTATGTGTTCAAATAATTTAATTAACAAAGCAAAATAAAATTAATAGGAGCTGCATGTTAGTGGCTAAAATGCAGAGAAAGGTTGCCCGTTGGGGGAAATTACTTGGCTCCGTATAGAGAGCGCGTAAGAATACCACCAGATATGAGAATTGTGCTTGAGCGCGCAGCGAGTTCAGATTTTTAGAGGAAACAGTGTTGTTTTATGTAATGCAATATAGTTAGCAAACTAGCCAAGCTGTTCTGTCTTGACATAAGTTCAGGACCAGTGACTGGCCTCGTAATCCAGCTTCTGAAAGTCTTCTCCTTATAGTGCGTAAACTGAAATTAACATTTCTAACTTGTTGCTTGATGTCAACAGCGATAGAAAGTCGATTCGAAACAATAATACTATCAACTCTCTGAGACGCAACAAGATGGCGACCTGATCCATTCCTTCTTGAGTAACCTCCAGTATCTTGGTAGCGATGGAAGACCCTTCGGCCAATTGTTCAGGAAATGTTAAGCACCCTGGTCAGACTTGACTTCTTCCATCTTACAATAATGCTATAATTCTAGCCGAATCGGTATCACTTAAAACCATCTCTCAAACAAATATTTAACTTAAAACTGGTACAACTTAAAAAAAATTGCACCACTGGAAGGTTAGAAAGAAGCTTTACAGAAAAAAATTATTTACAGAATCCAATTGTAAACACAAGTAGGTAGATTTTTTCTTCGTTTTATTGACCTCTAATCCTTTAAAACGGGTTAAATGTTGTCGTAAGATAATAATCAATGGAGGATTGTCGAAGAGATAATTAAAAATATTAAAGGTGGCCAATTTGTTTTTGCCTCTCAGTGTACTTAGATTATCTGCGTGTTATGTCAGAAATAAAATAGTGTTAATTTTTCGGAGAACCTCCTGGTATTTTTTTCTATTTACCTATTGGCTCTATTTCGGTAGTTTTAAAGACTGATCTTCAAAGGTTCCAACGATGGCCTAGATAAAAAAAACTTTTGTTTACAACGCAACAAGGTCCTGTTTAGTTTCTAAGCTAATCCAGTCTTAATTCGTTATTTTTAATTTTCATTGAGCGTTTGAAGCGGCATCCGGGTACGCCAGAAATAGACCGGAGCGGTGGAATGACCGATTTTTCCTTTTCATCAAATTTCTGAGATTTACTCGTTATCTATAGGAATAAAAAAACCATGCTTTACTATCTGCATTTGCAAATATTCTAACATTCTTTTTGCCTTAGAGCTACAGCTTTATTATATCGCATTATGTTTGCATATGCATTATATGTTATTATATTACGTATTATTTTGTTCGGACCTTAGTAATGA